GGCGGCGGCTGCGGGGCGGGCGCCCCCGCCCCCCTGCCACGCCGGGGCCCCCTGGGGTGGGGGGGTGGTTGCACGAGGGGGGCTCTCGCACGAGGGGTGGGCTCTCGCACAAGGAGGGGCTCGCACAAGCACTGAAGTCTCGCGCAAGTCGGTCTCGCATGAGGGCCGGGCTCCCGTATGAAGGGGTCTCGCACGAGGGCCGGTCTCTCGCACGAGGGCTCGACTCTTGCACAAGTGGGGTTCACGTGAGGGCCAGGCTCTTGCACGAGGGGGTTCTCAGATGATGGGTGGACTCTTGCACGAGGAGGGACTCGCCCGAGGGCTGAACTTTCGCACGAGGGCATCTCGCATGAGGACCACGCTCTCACACGAGGGGGGCTCACATGAGGGCCAGGTTCTCGCACGACAGCCGGACTCTCGCACGACGGCCAGATTCTCGCACAAAGGGGTCTCACAAAATGGGTGAACTCTCGCACGAGGGGGTCTTGCACGAGGGCTGCACTCTTGTACAAGAGGGGCTTGCATGATGGGCGGACTCTTACACGAGGGGGTTTCGCACGACGGCTGCAATCTTGCACGAGGAGGAACTCACACAAGGGCCGGACTCTCGCACGAGGGCAGACGTCTCCCGGCAGGTAGCGGGGAGGGCTCATTCGCGCCATGGCAGCTGTCTCGCACGAGGGCAGGCGCTTGCACTAGGGTGGCGGGCGCGAAGGGAGTCGTCGTGCCCTAGGCCATGGGGCTCCCCCGGAGGGGGTTCTTGCACGAGGCCCTCGCACAAGGGTGAGGATCTTGCGGTGGCGAGGGGGCAGCTCTCACACAAGGCTCTTGCACGAGGATGGCGATCGTGCATAGCCGTAGCACCAGGGTTGAGGGGGGAGGTTTCATGACACTCTCGCCCCAGGGGTGGGTCTTCTGGGCAGTTTTGCACGAGGACAGCCATCTTGCACGAGGGCAGCCATCTTGCACAAGGGTGGCTCTCGCATGTGGTCCTCATACAACGGGCTCTTGCATGAGGCTCTGGCACGAGGTGGGAGCTCTTGCCCGAGGCGCTTGCACTGGGGAGGGGGGAGCTCTCGCACGAGGGCAGCTGGCACAGGAAGGGGCGGCTCTTGCACGAGGCTTTTGCACGAGGGAAATGATCTTGCATGAGGGCATCTCTCGCCTGGGGCTCTCACACGAGGACTGTGATCTTGCACCCGGGCAGCTCTTGCACGAGGGCATCCTTCGCAGGAGGAACGTGCTCTCGCATGAGGATCTCTCACACGAGGCTCTCACACGAGGGCCGTGATCTTGCACAAGGGCGTCTCTTGCACGAGGCTCTAGCATAAGGACCATGCTCTCACACGAGGGCGTCTCTCGCATGAGGCTCTTGCACGAGGACGGTGCTCGTGCGTGGCCGTAGCACCAGGGTTGAGGGGGGAGGCTTCACAAGACTCTCACCCCAGGGGTGGGTCTTCCGGGCGGTTCTTGCATGAGGGTGGCCATCTTGCACGAGGGCAGCCATCTTGCACGAGGGCGGCTCTCACACATGGTCCTCATACAACGGGCTCTTGCCCGAGGCTCTTGCACCAGTGAGGGGGAGCTCTCGCACGAGGGCAGCTGGCACAGGAAGGGGGGGCTCTTGCACAAGGCTTTCACACGAGGGAAGTGATCTTGTGCGAGGGCGGCTCTCGCCAGGGGCTCTCGCACGAGGGCCGTGATCTTGCACCCGGGCAGCTCTTGCACGAGGGTGTCCTTCGCAGGAGGACTATGCTCTTGCATCAGGGTGTCTCTCGCACAAAGCTCTCACACGAGGGCCGTGATCTTGCACAAGGGCATCTCTCATTTGAGGCTCTAGCACGAGGACCGTGCTCTCGCATCAGGGCGGCTCTTGCACGAAGCTTTTACACAAGGACTGTGATCTTGCACGTGGGCGTCTCTCACCCGAGGCTTTTGCACGAGGGCCATGCTCTCGCATGAGGGTGGCTCTCACCCGAGGCTCTCGCACGAGGGCTGAGATCTTGCACGAGGGCATCCCTTGCCTGAGGCTTTTGCAGGAGGACCGTGCTCTCGCATGAGGGTGTCTGTTGCACGAAGCTCTCGCACGAGGACCATGCTCTTGCACGAGGGCGTCTCTCGCCCGAGGCTTTCACACGAGGGCCATGATCTCACTTGAGGGCGGCTCTTGCACGTGGCTCTCGCACAAGGGCCGTGATCTTGCACGAGGGCGTCCTTCGCACGAGGGCCCCACGCCGGGGAGTTGGGGGGAAGCC